TTTTAAATCAGCTTATCAATTTGTATTTAAAAATTTCTGAGATTTTACTTAGCATCGCACTGACTCTATATATATTGTAAGGCTCACTGCAATTTTTACCATCTCTCTGTTTCCTATTTTCCATGTTTTGAAAAACATTCTTTCATTTTTCCCCCTGAGTTTTGTGGTTGGTTCAGGTAGGAATTCTAAATCTCATTCCTGTTACTTCATCTTGGCTCGAAAGAGCAGACTCACAAACCAAGGCCTTTAGACCCCAGATCCCATATTCTTTCCATAAGTAGCCTCACTTGAGAAAAGAAGGGTTGGGTCTCACCTTTAAACAAAAAGAAAGATTTTATAAAAAGTTAAGTTTTACCAGACTTCAACAAATACTTAAAATGCTGATCCCTAATAAGACTAAGTTACTACACACCAATTTAAAAATTCTCAAGTTTTGATTCTCATAGATCAAATCTTACTTTTGTTCAATTCTTTATTATGTAAAGCCACAAAAAAACTGATCTCACGGCAAATTTACTCATTTGGAGAAGATGGACAGGGTGCTGTTTCCTCTATAATTCTGATAGTTCCCAAGTGATTTCATAATACATGAAATCAGAGGACATGGCTTTGTCCTCTGTATTTAGAAAGAGGAATTTGTTTTTCTGAAAAATCCCATTGTGTCCTGAAAGAGAAAGTGGAATCCAAGACTATGGGATATTGGTGGTTGTAAGCAGAAGACCTAATGATCTACCACACATGCTTAGCTTGACTTCATTAACTTTTTGAAAATGAACCTGCTGGGAAGACAAATCTAATGTCATCCAATAAGAAAAATAAAAATTAGATCATAAAAGTGAATGTGGCTGGTGTGAAGGCAAACAAAATGAAAAGGTTTTATCACATTTCCTTATTTCAAAGCGGCCTTTTAATTAAGATTTTTTTCTACCAGGAGAACTAATTTGATAAGTTTATGTAGGCAGCACATTTCAATTTACGCTTTTAGAAAGTGACTCTTTTTCATTGTAAGGAACTTACATACAGTCTCCAGGAAGGAAATAAGGATAAAGGCAAAGGGGCACACCTCCAAGTGGGATGTGAGGATTCTTCCTGTCCAGGTGGAATAGAGTGAACAGTAACATTTTCAGTTTCTTAGACTATATTTTATCCTGGTTTTCTCTTTTCTAGCTATTCAGCTGGTGCAAATGTAATTGTGGTTTTTGCACTGTTGAAATTTGCCATTTGATATTGGAATACATCCTTAAAATAAATGTGGTTATGTTATACATCATTTCAATGTGCATTTCTTGCATTATGTTTTTTCCTAATGACTTATTAGTTGCTGTTTATTATATATTTATCTTAGACTATGGAAATACTGTTAGACAAACATCAAATTTGAGCAATTATCTTCTTCAAGTTCAAAATGGGCTATAAAGCAGCAGAGACAACTTGCAGCATCAACAACACATTTGGCCCAGGAACTGCTAACGAATAGACAGTGCCGTGGTGCTTCAGGAAGTTCTGCAACCGAGAGGAGGGCTTTGAAGATGACAGCATAGCGGCTGGCCATTGGAAGCTAACAGTGACCAATTGATAACAGCCATCGAAGCTGATCCTCTTACAACTACATGAGAAGTTGCCGAAGATCACAATGACCATTCTATGGTCACTCAGCATTCAAAGCAAATTACAAAGGTGAAAAAGTTCAGTAAGTGCATGCCCCATGAGCTGAGCAAAATTTTCTTAAAAATCATCATTTTTGAGTATCATCTTCTCTTAGTCACAACAACAAACCATTTGTTCACTGGATTTTTGACATGCAATGAAAAATGGATTTTACGTGACAGCCGGCGATGACTAGCTCAGTGGTTGGACTGAGAAGAAGCTCCAAAGCATTTCCCAAAGCCAAACCTGCATCGCAAAAAGGTCTTGGTCACTGACTGGTGGTCTGCTGCCAGTCTGATCCACTACAGCTTTCTGGAAAAAAAAAAAAAAAGTAAATTGATGAGATCCACCAAAACCTGCAATGCCTGCAGCCGGCGTTGGTGAACAGAAAGGGCCCAATTCTTTTCCACGACAACGCCCGACTGCACATCATAGAACGAACGCTTCAAAGGTTGAAAGAATTGCGCTGTGCAGTTTTGCCTCATGCACTGTATTCACCTGACCTCTTTGCCAACCAGCCACCAATTCTTCAAGCATCTTGACAACATTTTGCAGAGAAAACGCTTCCACAACCGGCAGGATGCAGAAAATGCTTTCTGAGAGATTGTCTAATCCCAAAGCACACATTTTAATGCTAATGCTACAGACATAAACAAGCTGATTTCTCATTAGCAAACGTGTTGATTATAATGGTTTCTATTTTGATTAATAAAGATTTGTTTGAGTCTAGTTACAATGATTTAAATTTCACGACCCAAAACCGCAATTACCTTTGCACCAACTCAAGGCATCAGGCTAGCTCTGGATTTTATCCCTCCTTGGAATTGTTGATGGCAGTAGGGTTCTGAATACTGGTAGCATTTCCAGTTGCCAGTTTCCATGAAAATGGGGCAGGGTAAGTTTGATAACTGCTCGAAATATCAATTTAACCTTTAACTTGATAGCCAATGATCACGAGAACATACAGTACTGACCCAGCTTCGCAGCTCTCTTAGAAGAGACTTAATTACACAGTTGAACCGCTGCTAGAATCAGCCAAAGACACAGGGGAAAGAAACAGTTAAAGGAAACAAGGCAAGATTAATTTGTGGTCTAACTCATTAAGACCTCCTGCTGTCCTCTTTTGCCAAACCACTGAGCCTTCAACTTTTTAGAAAATGATCACATACCTCTAGCTATTCTTATTAGTTCTCTTGATTTTGCAGAAATCACAACCACCCCTGGGAGTCATTGAAGGCACCTGGAGCATGTAATTTGTTCAAAGTGGGAAAAGCCTTCCCAAAGAGACAAGGGACCAGTCCACAGGGCTTTTGCCCTTCTCTCTGTTGGTGGTTCCAAGTACGTCTTGCATTCTTTCCATTCTTCCCTCCTTCTACTTACTTTCATCTTCTTTCTTCTATCCACTTTCCATCTTTTTCCCTATCCTTGTCCCCCTCTGGCTGCCATGTTGAGGCTAAAGATGGGGTATCAGGGATAGATCTGCAGCTACTTTCAGTGTTCTTATTGAGCAGTCTATATCCATTATCTCACTTAATCCTTACAATAACCTTGAGAGGAGGTACTTCTCCTGTCATACAGGTATAGGAATTGAAGCTTAGGGAGGCTATGTAATCTACCTAAAGTCATTGTACTGGTTGTTAAGCTATTTTCTTTCTGTTTCAAAGCCACCCTTTTATACTCTGCTTTGTGATGCCGTGGTGGGGATTCTGCAAACTACATTTCTGCGTGGTCAGCCGGCTGGTGCTTTGTTGACATGCCAGGACACTGAGGCTGGATGAGGGAGAGGAGACTCACTCCTCCTACCTGTCTCCTGTTTCTGTCTGCATCATCTCAATAATGGCTTTTCACCTCAGCAGCAGCCGTTTTCTTTCTTTCTTTTTAAACGTTTATGTTCAAGGGTACATGTGCAGGTTTGTTACATAGGCACACTTGTGTCACAGGGCTTGCTGTACGGATTATTTCATTACTCAGGTACTAAGCCAAGTACACAATAGTTCCTTTATCTGCCCTTCTCCATCCTCCCACCTTCCACCCTCAAGGAAGCCCCAGCACCTGTTCTTCCTTCATTGTGTCCGTAAGTACTCATCATTTAGCTCCCGCTTATAAGGGAGAAGATGTGGTATTTGGTTTTCTATTACTGCCTTGGTTTCCTAAGGATAATGGCTCCCATCTCCATCCATGTTCCTGCAAAAGACGTGATCTCATTATTTTTTTAAGACTGCCTCGTATTCCATGATGTATATGTACCACATTTTCTTTAGCCAATCAGCAGTCATTTTCTACACTTCCAGAATGAACTCTTCAGAAATACTAGCACCAGTCCACCAGCACCTCCTGCCCAGAAATCCAGGTCCCAGCTCCGAAGCGTTTCTACTCCAAGCCTCTAGGTTCTAGTAACTTCATCCTCTTCTCTTTGTTCCCCTGGCCCTAGTGGCAGTAGCTGCTTCCTGGAGTTAAAATCTCTCTGGTGGCCCACTGTCCCATTTTTGTTTTTGATACAGTTTAACCAAGTCCCTCTATTAAGTTCTTTTCTGTGAAGTTACTGGCTTGATTTCTGTTTTTCTAATACAGGAGCAAGAGGATTAAAAAATGGGTATGTCTGACTACAAATCCAGGCCCTTAATTCTTACCCCTCTCCCATTTGCAGCCTGGCACTCAAATAACACTTTAAATCAAGTATAATTAGGAAATCGAGCTATGTTCTTTGTGTGCACTCCTTGGGGAAAGCCCTAAGCATTGTCATGTTGGTGACTGAACAGTCTATCCTCTCAAATGGCTTGGAAAGAACTGACATGACATAAGTAAGTATAATAGCAATCAGCCAAGGAAGATGGAGCCAAGGAAGATGAACATATTCCTAAAAAGATCACAGAGAGTGTGCATGCAGGCGTGGAGCAGCAGGTGGGTGCAGGACTGGCATGGTTATGGGCTGCGGGGCAGCAGAAGAACAATTCTGTTTGCTGTGTGGAGAGTGGATTGGAAAAGAGGAGGAAGTGGGAGTCTGCATGGGAAACTGTTGCAGAATCCCAGGATGCTTCCATGCCAGTCCCTGGGAGCCAACCAGAGAATAGATGACCTGGTACCTGGGTAGAGACCTGAGCTGGGAGAAGATGTACCTGGAAGAAAATTACAGAGATCAACGTGGAACAGAAGCCCCAGGACAGCAGGAGAAACCTCACCTGCCGAGAGGTGCCCCAGCGGCCGGGCTCCTGTGGGCCATGGCCCTCATGGATGTGCATTTCTACCTCTGCCCTGACTGCTGCTTCATTGCCCCTCGATGGTTCATGGCAGATGCCAGGCACTGTCCCTGTGGTCACTTCAGGATAGGACAGAGTCAAAAACTGCTCACCTGGACTACCCTGTGAACTGCTGAGAACAGAAATGAGGCAGCTGAAGCCAGCATGTCAGGGAAGGAGCCGTGAAGAGAATGAGGCTGGGTTCACTTCTGGTCACCATCATGGTGTTATTCCACTGAACACAGAGTCCTCCATCTCCACCTGTGTTGCCACTAATGACAGAGCTTCAATCTTTGTTATTGCTGAAGAGTACCCCATCGTATCTATGCACCACATTGTCTTACCCATTCATCTGTTGATGGATTCCGTGGTTGATTCTGTATCTTGGCTATTGTGAATACTGCTGCAGTAGTCATAGGGTTCAGACTGTGGGAAGCAGCACACACCCAGTGTTAGGAGTCCTGTCTGCTCTATGCTTCTACCCTTGAGCTCAATAATCTCAGGTCTGGGCCAGGCGTGGTGGCTCATGTCTGTAATCCCAGCACTTTGGGAGGCCGAGGTGAGTGGATCACGAGGTCAAGAGATTGAGATCAGCCTGGCCAACATGGTGAAACCCCCTCTCTATTAAAAATGCAAAAAAAAAAATTAGCTGGGTGGAGTGGCATGTGCCTGTAGTACCAGTTACTCCAGAGGCTGAGGCAGGAGAATCACTTGAACCCAGGCGGTGGAGGTTGCAGTGAGCTGAGATAGTGCCACTGAACTCCAGCCTGGGTGATAGAGCAAGACTCTGTCCAAAAGAAAAGAAAAAGAAAGAATCTCAGGTCTGGGACTTGATCCTGAAAAAATAACCCAAAGTCAGAAAAAAAGCCAAATGCATAAAGGAGCGCTATAGTGATCAAAAACTAGAAACAATAATTTTAGGGGACTAGTTTATCAAATTAGGGTCCAGCCACTTAACAGATTATTCTGCAGCCACTGTGTAATTAGGATCCCATGTGGCAACATGAAGAAAACCTTGTGATAAGTGAAGAAAACAAGATACAAAGTTGTATACTATACTATATTCAACTGCAAAATTATGCATTTATGTAAAAAATACAAAAATGACAGAAATTGGGCTATGGTGAAAGGGAAATTATGGACAATTTTTTTACTGTTTTTAAAACTCTGATGGTATACTGATTTTTTAAAAATTATTTTAATTGATACATAATTATACTATTTATGGGTACATACTGATGTTCTGATACATACAATGTGTAGTGATCAGATCAAGACATATCCATCATCTCAAACATTTATCATTTCTTTCTCTTGGGAACATTCAATACCCTCTCTTCTAGCTATTTGAAAATATATAGCAGGGCACAGCGTTTCACACCTGTAATCTCAGCACTTTCGGAGGGCAAGGTGGGTGGATCAAGAGGTCAGGAGTTCAAGACCAGCCCGGCCAAGATGCTGAAACCTCATTTCTACTAAAAATACAATAATTAAACAGGCGTGGTAGCATGCACATGTAATCTCAGCTACTCTGGAGGCTGAGGCAGGAGAATTGCTTGAACCCGGGTGGCAGAGGTTGCAGTGAGCCAAGATCGCACCACTGCACTCCAGCCTGTGCAACAGCACAAGACTCCATTTCAAAAAAGAAAAGTATATAATATATTGTTAACTATAGTCATCTTGCGATGCTATAAAACACTATAATTTGTTCCTTCTATCTAGCTGGAATCTCGTGTCCTTTAACAAATCTCTCCCTATCCTTACCTTTCCCCTACCCCTCCCAGCCTCTAGTAACCTCTGTTCTGCTTTTTATAACTGAGTAAACTTTTTAAAATGTCTACATAAGAGTAAGAACATGAGGTATTAAACTTTCTATGCCTGGCTTATTTCACTTAACATAATGTCCTCCAGTTCCATCCATGTTTTTATGAATGACAGGATTCCATTCTTTTTTTATGGCTGAATAGCATTCCGTTTTGTATATATACCACATTCTCTTTTATCCATTCATCTGTTGATGAATACTTGAGTTGATTCCATGTCCTGGCACTGGAATAAACATGGGGCATACATTTTCAAAAATCACAAAATTGACACATTTGCAAGTCATAGATGTAATGGGAACTTAACTCTCTGCATTTCTGCTGGAAATCGAATTTCTCTAAAAGCAGAACATGCATTTTTAATCTTTTCTTACTAATAATTTTATTTTGCAGAAGGAAGAGGAAGAAACAAAAGGAACTTCCCTCCTGGATTTAATTCTGACCTACCAGGAAGAACCGGCTATTGAAGCAGAAGTACTGGAGCCTCTGCAGCCAGTGAGTCGGGGTGTCTTTCAGAGGGGGATTAAAATGCCCAAGGAAAACCATTCTGGAAAAGCTCTGATGTGGGTTCTAAATGGGTACACAGTTCTCAGAAGGTCAGAGGAAATTGCAGCTTGATCCCGTAATCAAACAATCTGAAAGAGAAAACAGAATGAGAGGGATGAATGGGAGGATCCCCAAAATGAAATCCTGAGGACACAAGAGTATCAACCTTGATAAGAAGTAAAAGAGTTTGGCTTCAAAAATACCAGTGTGACTAGCAGAGAGCAATTTAATGAGCTTAATTTGTCAAAGGGCTGGACAATACATGGAAGACATTTACAGCAGATAATCTGTGAATGCCTCTTTGTTCCAGGAACTCTAGACATGAACAACCCAAGTTGCTGCCTTCAAGGTGCTTGGCAATTTCAGGCTGGGCGCCATAGCTCATGCCTGTAATCTCAGCACTTCAGGAGACTGAGGTGGGAGGATTGCTTGAGCCCAGGAGTTCAAGACCAGCCTGGGCAACATAGGGAGACCTCATCTCTATTTTTTTTCAAATGCCAATTTCTTTTTACCTTTTCTTTTTTTTTTTTTTTTAGATGGTGTTTCACTCATCACCCAGGCTGTAGTGCAATGGTGTGATCACAACTCACTGCTACCTCCATTTCCTGGGTTCAAACAATTCTTCTGCCTCAGCCTCCCAAGTTGCTGGGATTATAGGTGCCTGCCACCATGCCCCACTAATCTTTGTATTTTTAGTAGAGATGGGGTTTTACAATATTGGTCAGGCTGGTCTCAAACTCCTGACCTCAGGTGATCCACCTGCCTCGGCCTCCAAAATTGTTGGGATTACAGATGTGAGCCACTGTGCCCTGCCTTAAATGGCAATTTTTTTCATTCGATACAACCTACTATATTGTCAAGAGGGTGAGATTTGACACAAGGAGTGAGAGACGACCTCTCAGAAAGAGTGGCATATGAGCAGAGCACCAAATAAAGTGAGGGAATGAGGCACGCGAAAACTGTGAGAACAGTGTTCCAGGCTTAGGGGAAAGCACATTTCAGCAATGTGGGGTGGGAATGCGGGGTGTGTGTGAGGAACGTCCAGAGGTCCAGTGTGGATACAGTAGAGGAACAGGGACAAGGGACATTAGGAGCTGAGACAGCAGTGGCCGCCAGAAACAGATCCACAGGTCATGACAAGACATCACGTATTTTTTCTGGGAATAAAATGAGAAGTCCTTAGAGGGATGAGAACAGGGGTGATTTGATTGGATTAATATTCTCAAATCCTGGAACCCCTGTGGAGATGAGACTCAGAGGGCCCAGTGAGGAAGCCCTGCAAACACTGATGGGACCAGGGCAAGAATCCAGGAAAGATCTGATAGTGACATGGGAAGGTTGTTAGCAGTGAAGGAGGTGAGAAATGGTAGAGGCTTTAGGGTGTATTTTGAAGGTAAAAGTGACAGGACTCACAGATTGAATTAGACATAGCAGTTAAAAAATAAAAAAAGGAGTCCACATTCCTACACACCAATAACAGACTTAAAGAGAGAAAAATAATAATAATAATAAAAAGAAAAAGAAAAAAAGAAAAAAAAAAAGGAGTCCAAGGTGACAATAAGAATTTTGGCCTGAGCTACTAGATAAATGGTGGAGCCATTTACTGAGCTGGAAAGAGGAGAAAAGATGAAGATTTACTTAGGTAGAAAAAATCAAAAGCTTGATTTTAGATACATTGACTCTACCATTCTTCTCAGGCATCTGATTTGGGATAGTGTGTAGGCAGTTGGATCAACAAATTTAGAGCCAGAAAAAAAGACAGGAGACTTAAATTTGGGAGTTATTAACCTACAGATTTATTTAATGCATGGGACCGGTAGAACTCACCTGGGAAATGAGGTCAGCTGGACCAGAGAAGAGGTCTCAGGACAGGGTTCCAGGGCCCTCCAACACTGAGAAGCTGTGGGGAAGGAGATCCAGTGCAGGAGGCTCAGGAGGGGCTGGCAGTGAGGACAGGACATCGCATCGGTTCTGACTCCAACTCCCAGTTTTTGCCACAGCCTTATTAGGAAGAGGAACCTGCCAGAAGGCAGGGGGGAAGCTAGGGAAGCACCCACAGGAGACTCCTCCATCAGCATCAGTTCAAATAAACATGAGTGCCCCACTGTAGAGAGGCACGTCCTCCAATGAGAATGAACCCCTGCGCTAACCCACCTCTTCTACCTCCTCTTCCTCACTCCAAGTGACAAAATGGTCAGTTCTCCAAACCAAACATGACTAAGCCTGTCAGCCCTGATATTCAAGGTATTTAAAAACCTCTTGTCTTTCGACTGACCACAACAATTATAACTAACGAATCCTGATCAAATGCTCCTCACTTTCTGGAATGTCCTTAGAAAGCAACTTACCTCCCAGGGTGTGAAAAGGTCTGAGTACCAGGAAAGCCAGAGGACAAATTCTTAGATGTGGTGTTGGCAAAAATACTAAAAGACTAAAAAAAAATTTACTTAGAAGACGAGGAGGAAGAAAAACAGGAGTATCCACCTAGATTATCAGAAATGGATAACTTAGAAATAGAGAGCCATTCTGGGCAGTTGTGTTTGGGGACTTTCTCTAGAATACATGAGTACTTGGAAGAATAAGAGACTCACAGCAAGAGAGGGGCCAATTAGATATATGCCAGTCAAAACTGCCTCCCGATTCAGGGTGTTTTCACCAATTGCAAATTAAAGTTTTCATTCTAAGTATGCCTGGAAATGGAGAGATAAGTAGACAGGATGGATGGATAGACAGACAGACAGACAGACAGATAGATAGATAGTTACAGAAAAATAGAAAGATAAGTGCAGGTTTTGAAGGTTATAGGATTTGTATAAAAGCTATTCAGAGTCGCTGGGTTTAAAATTTAATGTTTGCCTTGTGCATTGCTGATATGAATGTAAAATAGTGGCATTGTTGAGAAAAAATAGTATGGCAGTTCCTCAAAAAATTAGCCATGGAATTGCCACACAATCCAGCTATTCCATTTCTGGGTATATAGCCAAAAGAAGTGAAAGCACAGCCTTGAACGGATATTTGTATACCCACGTTCATAGCAGCATTATTCATAATAGCCAAAACATGGAAGCAACCCAAATGTCTAGTAATAGATGAATGGATAAACAAAACATGGTATATTTATACAATGAAAAATTATTCAGCCTTAAAAGGAAAGGAAATTCTAACCCATACTGCAATATAGATGAACCTTGAAGACATTATGCCAAGTGAATTAAGCCAGACACCAAAGGACAAATTTTTTCACAGGCATGTGGTACATAGGTTAGTCAAATTCACTTTCATACAGTCAGGAAACAGAATGCTAGTTGCCACGGGTAGGGGAGGGTGGGTAATGAAAAATTATTGTTGCTAGGCACAGCGTTTGAGTTTAGGAAGGTGAAAAAGTTCTGGAAATGGATGGTGGTGACAGCCATACAACATTGCAAATATACTTGATGTCACTGAATCGTACACTTAAAATGGGTAAAATGGTTTTTGAAATGGTGATCCAAGATTATACAATTCAGAAAGATCACTCATTAGGTGATGATGTCTCTGAAAGAATTATTAAGATTGCTTAGCTGTAAACAAAAATGACATTAATATGAAAGAGGCTGTCTTTTTTAAAAAGTTCCGGATGTGTGTATGTGAAAATTGTTGTATATGTGTCAGCACATAACAATTTTTGTTTGGATTACCTTCAGAATTCTTGTTTTTCTATTTCTTTCCTTTGAGTATATGAGAGCTCTAAATTCATCCGTGAAAAATTATAAATCTCAGTATAATTCTGATAGTGGCAGGATAGTGTATTTTCAGGTTTGCTGGAGGAAAAAAACTGGACTTTAAATAATTAAGCCAAAATGATTGTATTAATTAACTTATATCCTTAATCACTAACTTCATTTTTTATATTTCCCTTGACTTTTGTGAGAGAAATAGTCTTTGTCTCAAAAGTGGGCTTTAGTGATCTATGGGTTTGATAAAGCAACCCTGATAATGAGGCAAGGATATTTAAATGGCAACATGCCAGCAATTATTATTAGTTAATTGAAAGCTTTTATGATTTTGGCCTGGGGCCAATGTTTTTCCCCTCTGCTGGGCCATCCTGTGGGTAAGGGAGAGAAAAAGCTTTGTTTCACTTTTTAAATGAAAGTATTAAGTAACCTTGAAATTTTTATAAAATTAAAAGATAGTAAAAACAACTATTCTAACAGAATTCAAAACCTGTTATGCTTCAGTTGTGAGATTATTCAAGATAAGTCCATGTGAAATTGGGAGTAAATTTCTACTGGCAAAGTTTGTCAGTGATAGCTATGCACTTCTGACGAAATGCAAAGTGGGGGGTATGGGCGTGTCATATCATCATGGTGCAGATATGTGGATGTGGGCATCCAAACAATGGCAGCCTAACGCGCTGTGCTGGATCCAGACAAAATATCTGAGACCACTCAAAAAGAAGGTGAAAATTGTCTGCAAAAATATATTTGAAAAATACTGAGCTAATATAACATGAATGTGGAATTATAAGCGAGGTATTGTAACTCGCCTACAGATGTGTTTTTTGTAATCAACATTTATGGACTCAGACTACACTGTAAAAGCTTACATAGAAATCATTCTACGTAAATTTTCCAAGCATGAAAGTAACCTTGTATCTGTTTTCACTACTGTATTTTTAAATGCATTTAAATCACATTTCCACATGCCTGATAGTAATAAAATTAAGGTTAATTTGTCACAAGAAACATGCAAATTAAAATCTAATTGCTATACCACTAAACACCCAGTAGTATGGCTAAAAAGAAAAAAATTAGAAAATGTCAAGCACTCGGGACAATGTGGAGCAAATAGAACTTTTACAATGATGATTCATATGCAAAGTGGCACAAACACTTTGGAAACCTGTTTGGCATTATACTCTACTAAACCTGAACACATGCATTGTTTATGACCCAGGAATTCCACTCCTGGGAACCAAAAACAATGCATTTATGTGTTGCATGTGTTCACCAAAAGACATTTACAAGAATATTGGTAGCAGCACTATTTGAAATCGCCCTCAAGTAGAAACTGCACAAATGTTCAACAGTATGAGGGATGAAGTATGGTATATTCATGCACTATAATAGCATGCCATAATACCATATGCATACCATTTATGCATATCATACCATATATGCAATATAATACCATATTTATGCATGTGATACCATATTGCATATTTATGCAATATAATTCCCTACAGAAACGAGAGTGAGGGATCTACAAATGAATATGCAGCTGTACAAATGAATCTCACAAATATACTGTTGGGTGGCAGAAGCCAAATGCAAATGAATACATGCCGTATGATTTCTTTCTTTTAAATTAAAAAAATTAGTCACACACAGTTATGCTGTTAGAAGAGAGTAAATTGGTCAGGAGCAGGGGTAGTAACAGGAGGGTGTGCAAGGAGACTTCTGGTTGTTAGTTATGTTCAGTGTCTCAATCTAGGTGCTAAACAGGTGCACTCAAGATTTTAGAATTCATCAATTTGCACACTTACAATAGATGTACTTTTTTGTACCTATATTTCAATAATGTACATTTAAAAAGTAAAATGACACACTATTAACAAATGACACTATTATATTAACTGTTATATTAAGGAAAATACAAAAATGAGTCCTCTAACGGGCTCTGCAGGTCATGTGGTCATGCTAAGGGCCATATGTGCTCAAGAGTCTCATGACCTTTTGGAAGGAGGTTGGGTGGGCTGGCTCACTTGCTTGCTTGCCTGCCTGCCTGCCTGCCTGCCTTCCTGCCTTCCTTCCTTCCTTCCTTCCTTCCTTCCTCCCTCCCTCCCTTCCTTCCTTCCTCTCTTTCTTTCTCTCACTCTCTTTTCTTCCTTCTTTTCCTTCTTCCTTTCTCTTTCTTTCTCTCTTTCTTCCTCCCTCCCTTCTCCCCTCCCCCTCCCCCTCCCTTCCTCACTCCCTCCCTCTCTTCCTTCCTGCTTCCCTCCCTTCCTCCCTCCCTCCCTTCCTTCCTGCTTTCAGTCTCACGGTCTCCCAGGCTGGACTGCAGTGGCACCATCATGGCTCACTGCAGCCTCAAACTCCTGGGCTCCAGTGATCCTCCTGCCTCAACCTCCTGAGTAGCTGGGATTACAAGGGTGCACCACCACACCTGGCCTTGTCTTTCTGTTCTGACAGCTGGTGCTACTCTCTGATAGTACCAACCAATATATCATAGACCTCTGCAGTATTTGGATTTTATTCCAGGACACCTGAACTAAGGGTAGAGAAGGAAGAAAGAAAGAAGAAAAAAGAATTGCATGATCACCGCACTCTCCTGTGAAAGTTCTACCTAATGGCTATATGTTTACGCATCACATGAATCAGCCTATAACCTAGAATGAAGCCACCCGTGCACCACAAATGCTCTTTTATAGGGTGGGGTTAATGTCTGCACTTCTGGGCAGCATTGTAATTTGAATACAACATTTGGTGTGATAATATGTGACAGCAAATGTCAAATTAGGAAGGCTGTGTACACACTATTTCTATGTATAGATAAGTATGTATGAAAGAGTTGGAAACTTACCTGTGTAACAAGGTATTTTAAAACAGAGAGAAGGACGCAGAGCAGGTGGTTGGAAGCATCAGCATGGGCTGCTGCTCCATGAACCTTGCTCCACTGCTCATAGGCATGTTTCCTAAGCTTATTCCTTTGGAGCTGGATGATGCTTTGTAGTGGGGGCTATTCCTCTACCCTCTAGATGCCAGGCACGCAAACCCTCGTTCAGGTTATTTTAGAGTATGTGTATGAAAGGACAGCTGTTACGGAAGCAAGCCCAATTCCACAGCTTCAGAAAGTGGGTGCCTATGAATCAAGAACTAACTACAACTCAGCAAATTCATTTCTAGGCTGGGGGAAGGAAGGCTGAGAGTTGGACAAAAGAGTCAGTACTTAACCCCGAGAACATCCAAAACCAACCTTCCTTTGCCTCCAAAATACCTTCCAGCTTCTGTCCTCAAGAATATCCTCCATTTTTACTATTGAGATAAGGGGTAAGAAGAAAATAAAACATTCTGACAACCTGTGGGGATTAGCGCAGAG